ATTGTTGTTACCTGACGTGAGCCTTAGTTTCTTCCTCTGTAAAATGGGGTGGGGAGGTGGACTCAGTGGGCCCTAAGGTACATTCCAGGTCTAGATCTCAGATCCTAGGATCCTCTTCCATTGCTGCTGCTGCTGCTGCTGCTGTTTGTCCTGTGTTCTCGAAGAGGACCATGACATCAGGGAGGTGATGCTATGACATGCAAGTGAATTGGATTTAAGTAAGGGAGGGCTCCATTGCCACATATTTGTGTAGAGGTGACCCTAGTGTTGAAAGTTCCACCAAGAAGCAACATGCACTGTCAGGTCCTACCAAGCCAGGAAAGGCTTTGAATGCAAACCCAGTAATCGACTATGTTTGTGTTTCATGGACCAGCCAAGCTAAGTTGAGAGAAAATCATCATCAGAAGCCTGGCTGCCAGGGAATCAATCAGATTGGCCACAGCAATAGACACAGCCTTCCAAGGCATGAAGGGTTGGTCTGTGAAGGGAGTAGACACACCAATGAAATCTTGGAAACTTCACATGTTAGAAAAACCAGAGAGATTGCACACAAAGACACAAGGTGGTCAGAAGCCCACTGAGGCCTGGGGATTGGGCAAGATAGATGAGAACCTGGGGTATTTTTGATTTGTTTGCCTTAGCATGCCAGTAACTCTACTGCTGCAAATAAGTGGGCCCGTGGAGTTGAAATTTGTACATGTCCAGAGTCGGAGTGGGTGAGGGTTCTGTTGTTTGTGGCTCTGCTGTTAAGTGCCAAGAAACTGAGTCCATTTTCACCTGGGAGTCAGGTGGCAAGGAAAGACATTATCAGGAGCCACAGCAGCCACAAGCCCTGCCCCCCACTAAGGATGTGCCTGTGACCTATCTGGTGCACATAGCACCAGAGAACTATGGGACTATAACACACATTCGAGGAAAGCCATTCATGGGGGGCCATTGCTTTTGGTTTGAGAGACAGCATGGCAGAGTGGAAAGAATATTGGATTTGGAGTTCAGTAGACTCAGTTCAGCTCTCAATTCTGCCATTGTTATATAAACCTGGAGAAATCACTTAACCTCCCTGATTCTAAGTTTCCTTGTCTGTCAAATGGCTATAATAACACTTCCTTCCCTAACAGGGGCATTGTGAGGAAAGCCCTCTGTAAACCTTGGAAGGCTATAGATATCAGTCATCATGATTAGCAGGAGCAGCAAAAGCAATGTATCGATGGCCCATGAGGCTGTTTTCTCTTTCCCTCAGTTCTCTTACAGGGTGGAAAGGGGAAGCTTTGAGAGATAGCTACAAGACAATGAGTTCTGTGAAAACAGGAGTTGTCTTGGTATCCTACTCAATTCCTTATACAAAGTAGATTCTTAATATATTTTCAGTTGAATGAATAGATGATTGTCACCTATAAGTGAAGCTATGAGGATTTAACTGCAGGATCAAGAGTCCCACATCCACCCTCTGAAAGTTGTGACTCCATATTAGAAATCTGCAGTGACTTTTTTTTTTAAATTTGTCAAATCTTTATTGAGTAAGTGGGGAAGGTTGGCAAGGTCCAACTTAGTCCTTCTCGGCAGCAGCCTTCCTCATGGCAGGTAGGAAGTTGCTGAGCTCCTCTCTCTTCCTCTTGGCCCAGATGTGAGTTCCCACCCTTTTTCTGATGAACTTAAGGGCTTTCTTATCCTTAGAGACCTTTAACAATTCCATGGCCCATCTCTCATAAGGGGCAAATCCACACACCTCCCGGATCATATCTCTCACAAACTTGGTATGTTTGGTCAAGCGCCCATGGTGGCAGCAGTATCTCGGCTTTGAAACATTTTTGGTAACTTTGTGGCCCTTGTTGAGACCTATGGCCATGGGGTCTCGGATGGCCATGGCTGTGGTGCTACTGTAGGCCCAATGGCAGCCACAGCAGAAGGTGCAGTGAGTTATTGAAAGAGCATTCTAACTGAGATTATTACTAGAAAGATGAGGGGTAGATTAAGGTGTGGTTGTGCACAGTTAAGGAATGATGAAAGTGTGCCCTTAAAGAGAATTTTCTCATTTCCATGTTACTATGTTTACCTGCTTTAATAAAGAATTTGATTTGGGGATAGTAAAAACATCCTCCTCCAATACGCAACAGTCCTGCCTGTTAAGCAGAAGGTGGGGCAGGTCTTCTCAAGTTGAAAAGGCTTCAAATGTGGTCTAATGACAGGCTGTAGGACTGTCATCTATGGACAAGTCCTCAAAGGCTGTCCACTAAGTCATAGGTCTATGGGATCATAGGCTTAGAGCGAGAAGGGACCCTCAGGGGTCACGGGACTCCAAAGAGTAATGGATTTAGAGCCAGAAGGAGCTGCTTCGGAATCTGAGCACAACCATTTACTGCCTATGTGGTTATTTAATCTCACTGGGCTTCAGTTTTCTCATATGTGAAATGAGGGTATTGGCCTAGGTTACTGGCCTCTTTGTAATTCCTCACACATGATCATCCCTCCCCCATCTCTGTGTCTTTGCGTTGGCCATCCCCTATGCCTGAGATGCTTTCTCTCCTCACCTCTGCCTCAGAGACTCCTTCTCTTCCTTCTAGACTCAGCTCTTTTGCCATTTTCTACAAATCTTTCCTGAGAGCCTCACCCCAACTACTTTGTATTTTTGTATTTGCGTTCTTACTTTTATTTTACTTTACTTTTAGACTTAGCAAGGCTGAAAGGAAGGGGCAAAAAGCAGACAATGAAATGTAAAGTGGAAGCTCTTTCAGGTGTAAAGGAAACATGTCAAGCCTTAGAAAGGGGCTGTGGCTTGAATAACTCAATGAAAAGACAACCCAAGGCACCAACAATTTCAGTACCTTTGTCCCCAGCCAGTCATTTGAATAAGACCCCAAAGGGAACGTGGAAAGTATAACTGGCTGATCACTATTAGTAAAGGCACCCCTTATCAAGGGAACTTGCACTGAATTCGCAACAATTGCCAAGCAGGAGAGGCTCGATTTCTCCCACCTCCTTTCTGGAAGGGACAAACCACAGGGCCAAGGCTCTGAGTGAATCTAAGAGAAGATGCTGCAGAGAAAATGGTAACACTCAGCCAAAGGGTGAAGCTGGTAAAGATTCTAGCAGCCTATTTAGGAGGGAGCCCAGGGAGTTGGTGCAGTGGATAGAGTTAGGCTTAGAGTAAGTTAGAACCAAGTTCTAATTCTGCCTCAGACTCTTCCTAACTTCGTAAACTTGGGCAGGTCCTTTTGGTGTTCTCAGCCTCAGTTTCCTCATCTGTAAAATGAGGGGGTTGGACTCAATGGCCTCAAAGTACCTTTCAGCCCTAAATCTACAATCCTTTAATCCATCCAGAAGAGATACACACCCTGGGAAAAGCCTCACAGCAGTGTACTCAGCCCAGCTCAGATAACTCCAGCCCAGCAGCCAACCTATCTTCCCAGCCCAGTCCAAGAGCTCAACAGCTGAGCAACTTGTTTGCCTCAGCCCATCAGCAGATTGACTGATCCAACCAAGGTACTGTTTCCTATGAGGAGGAGTGACTTCAGCTGAGCCACCTATCTAATGGAGACCCTGTGTCCTTCAAGAAGCCATCTCAGCCTAGCAATTGAGTTCTTTGTTCATCATTCACAATGACATTCACCCTACAGTGAACTTCATGAGGACTCTCTAGAGAAATAAATGACAGTGAGGCCCTTTCCATTCCAGAGGTTACCTTGGGCATGAGCATTCCCTACACATGTGCCTCACTACCATTGTATTTTTAAGTTCATGCCCATTCTTTCCCCCATGGTCTCCATGTGTATCTGTGAGACAAGGTGCTCCAGGTTTGGGGGCAAATGCTATGTAACTTCTGACTTATTATCCCATTTGAATAAATTCCTTTTCTAAAAAGCCACTTGATTCTACTGGCTGATTGCTAAGAGGGAAGTACATTGGTGGGGGCTCAGGAGTTACAATATTAGGACAATATCAGAAGGATAGCCACCCATAGGATTACTCCTAGAACCCAAGGTAGCAGCTATACCTTTGGGGACCTATGTTGCCAATAATGAAGTGGGATAGAATTGGAGTCAGAGGTACAAATTTGTATACTTTTGTTGTTTAGTTGTTTCAGTTGTATCTGATTCTTTGTGACCCCATTTGTGTATACTTATATATGTGTGTGTGTGTATGTGTGTGTGTGTGTATGCCTGTGTATTTGTTGTCTCCCCCATTAGGGGAGAATAATGATCCCTTATCAGGTGGGATTGTTTCAAGTCTTTGTCTTTGTACCCCCAGCACCTGGCACATAGTAGGTGTCTAATAAATGCTTGTTGACTGATTTGTCTATTGGTTCTAAGGTACTTTCCAGCCCATTAGTTCAAGGACCAACCTAACTTAGTTTTGAGAGGTTTATCACCAGAGGTTGAATATCAAGGAATGGATGGGGGCGGGGGGAGGAGGGAAGAGAGAGGCATTCAAAAAGACGGTCTAATAATAAGGCATAGAGGAGTTGCAATCCATATATGTGAAAGGAATGGCCAATTTCATAGAAACTGCAACTCTAAATTGATCTAAATTGAATGTTGTGATCCACTCCAACCTCTTCATTTTACAAATGAAGAAACTGAAGCCCTAAGGGTACATATCAGAGCTGAGACCTAAGTCTTCTGACTCAACCTCCAAGCGCTCTTTTCATTACAATATACTTTGTAAGAGGACTCCTCCCCACACTAAGAGCAATGGATATATGTCTCACAGCATCCTGCCAGCTTTGGGACCTTTCCTGGCTATTTATATGTAGGAGAAAATGGCCAGTATTGGGTAGGTTTAATCTATGGCCTGAGTCCCTTGAAGCTCTGTCTAGTGGCCTGGCATCAAATGGAAATGCAGGCCCCTCCACGCTAAGACCAGGATAAGGCCTCGTTCCTGAGGAGCAACCAGACACCCTCCCCCCACAGAGCATAAAGGACAGCTGAGTGCTTGTTGCCTTTCCATGGGCCCCACAATACACTCTGGAAATCACAGCCAATGACAACATTTTGATGCTGAAATCACATTTGTTTATTACAACACACCACAGAAAAAGTATACATCTAAAGTTTTATTCCCCCAGCAGCCTCTATCCATCGGCATCATGCATTTCCAAGAACTTTCGATCAATATACTATACTGCTCACGTGATAGATCATAATGGCTCATAGCCAACTATAGTGTTAACTGTCGGATGAAATGCTCAGTCCTACATACCAGCTCATAGCCTGCGAATGCTGAAACCTTGCATAGTGAAGATACAGTAACGGTAGAGGTGAGGATTGCATATAAAATATACCTACGTAAATCTACCTAGGATATCTGCAAACTCATCCTACACGCAAAAGCATCTTCAACTAAACTTATTCGAGTACCTTCTCCTGTTGTAAACCATTCACCGGTTGTGCATGATTGTAAGAGAATCTGACATGAGGTTGTTTGGTGATGAAACCTGAGCAGACTGCACCATGATGGAAGAAGGGCCGTCCCGAGGCGGCTAGTGGTCTGTCTCTTATAGAGAGAAGAAAGTCCGGAGGTGGCTATGAGCTAGTATGTGTATCCCTTCTAGTTTCTCAGCCTTGCCAGGTTCATTTCACAAGGGGCCTGAGAAGGCCCCTACTAACTTCTTTGTGGGGAGCAGCTGGGGGAGGGGACAGTAAACATAAGTGGCATGCAGTCACAAGAGAAAAGCAGCAGGGGTTCAGGCAGTTTGCCTTAAAAGGAGTTCTTACACCAAAAGATGCATCAATAGGGAGATAATTGTGCACAGGGAACAGGTCTGCTAAATTAAATTGGAGGGGCAAGGTGTCTGGGACACCTGGTTCTTCCTTATTGGATTTGGAATTGGGAGACTTGGGTTCATAAGACTGAGGGCTGGAAGAGACCCCAAAGATCATTGGTTAACCACCTTGTTTTATGGTGAAAAACTAAGTGGTCTCCAAAGTCCCTTTCTGCCCTCACATCGTATGGTCCTATAGTTTCCTCAAACTTTGGTCCCTCTCCCCTGAGGCTCTCAAGTAGAGAACAGCACCAAAGAAGGTAGGAATGTTTCTGGGTCATCGGCTTGTGTGAGATTTGCCAGAAGAAATGAAGACCCAGACCATCCCCAGTAGTGAGGACGGAAATATTTTGGAAATACTGGCCTGGAGGGGTCTCCAGGTGTGAGATCTCATGGGAACCTCTCTACCTCCCCACAGAAGCCTGAGTCAGTCATGACTGGCAGCCTCTGTGGTTTCAGCCTTCCAATTTTTCACCCACTGAGATCTCTCATACTAGCCTAGAAATTGGCACCTGTCAGATCCTGCCCAGCACATTATAAGGGAGTTACGGGAAAGGGGTGGGGTGGGGGAGCACAAATTGCAGAGCAAGCAAGAGATATGTGCGTCCATTTAGGACTGGAACCAGCTGCAGCCAGGGCGTGGTTCAGAATCGGTATCATCAGAAAGGGGCGATTTGGCCCGCTTTTCAGACTTGGCGGGGGCCTTGCCCTTACCCTTGCCCTTGCCCTTGCCCTTGCCTTTGCCCTTGCCCTTGCCCTTGTCTTCGACCTCATCCTCTTCCTCTTTGGCCTCAACCTGGGGGGCCTGCTCTTCTACGACAACATCATCCTCAGAACGTGCCATCTGGCGCTGGCCATGGGATGCAAACAGCCTCATGCAGACTCCTGAAAAATATTAACAATGATCATCATTTAACAGCAAATGTTAACCATGATCTTATAATTGTATAACCCTTTCTATTTTCCTTGGGTACTGAAAAACCAGAGTCAGGGGCTGGAATGGAGCTCTGTACCAGACTTGGCAGTGGCTGACAAGGACCTCTGAGGATATCTTGAGGGCCCCTGCCCAACGCAGCCCCCTGAAACATACTGCCAAACCCTGGGCTCACCTTGGCTGGAGGAGGCATCATCAGGGGTCTGAGCTCCATGGCCAGACCTGAAGGGGCGCAGGCAGAAGATTGTTTTGGAACTCTTGGCAGTTTCCTTTTCCATGCGGCCAGGGAGCCTCAGGAAAGAAAATGGCGGGAAAAGAGTGGGGATCTGGACTGCCCCAGAACTGGTACTTGCCACGGGCTCATCGGTTTCTTTGTGAGTACCCCTTAAATTGAAAAGGGCAAGTTATTCCAGGGTAATGAGCTGATTTTGCATTATCTATAGTTAAGGAAAGGAATAGTGGATTTCACTGGGGAAGAAAGAAGGTAGGTTTGGACAAAATCATTGTCTTTGGGGAACCAGGAAGAGCCACAAATTGAGCTACCTTCAGAATTGATGTTCTCAATTGTGGCAGGAGCCCCAACATTCTCCATTTGGGAGTAATTTGGGTATACCCTCCTATAGCACTGAAAAATGGAAATCATACCCCATCCCCTCCACACAAATACTGCTTTGCATACAAAACCTCTGCATAAATATTTGCTCAGTGAATCAGTGAATGAAGGAGAGTCTAATAGAGGGCAATTTGATATAATTCCCCTTCCTTTCTTCCTGCTTCTCCCCACTCCTCATTGCTGAGAAATATGGGTTTAAGGTTCTAACCCAGCCCGAGATGATCACCCATTCTCCTGAGCTACTCACAAGTGAGCAATGGAGGACGTGGCAGATTCGAGGGCAGAGCAGGACATCGAACCAGCAGCAGAGACGCATTCAGAAGCCGAAGTAGACTCGCTATCAGAAGCTGATGTCTCAGGGACCGCCAAGGGCATGGGGGTCTTGAATTTTTGACGCAGAAGATATTCAATGACATCAGGGTCAGTATGCCACACGCTGAGGAGCACCTCACTCTGCACATCAGGGGGCACCTGGGAGAGGAATTGGCACCTTAATGGACAACCACTCAAAGCCTAGAAGGGTGGGAGACCATTCTCCTCCCTTCCAGGGTGGCATCTCTCTCCAGGAGTCTTGGCTCTGGGGCCAAATGCCCAGAGACCTTGGCTCCTTCACTGTCAGTCTCCCCAGGGACAGGGCCATCAGGGAAGGTTCCTCCTTATGATTGCCTTTTACTCCTAAAGCTTCCCAGGGAGTTACTTCTTCCCTGGAACCAATACATTGGTCACTTATGTTTCTATTTCCTCTTTCTTCTCCTTCCTCTAAGGATTTCCTGTAGGATTATTCTAGTTAGATCATTTAACGGGGATGGCCCAAGAGTCAAGAGAACTGAGTTACTGTGTCATCTGGGGAGGCAGAGGGCCTTTCTTAAACGGACTGCAAGCTTAATGCTTGGCAATGGTGTGATACAGAAGCCAAAGAAACTGAGAAGATACTGCTCCCCAGTCAGACCACATCTGGAGTGTTTAGTTGTGGGTGCCACACTTTAGGAAGGACATTGATTGGTAAGCTGGAGGGCAACTAAGATGATGATAGAACTGGACACCGTATCATTATGAGGACTGGGAAAAAGAACTAGGAAAGAAGCGAGGATTTAGGCTGGGGACAAATATGCCATCCTCAGCTATTTGAAGAGCTCTCATGAAAAATGGGTTGTCTCACAAGTAGTGGGTTCTGCCTCACTGAAATTCTTCTAGGTCCCCTACTGACCACCTACTCTACCCAGGGCTGGGTCCCCAGGCCTCCTCTGCTTTATGGATAGAGATCCCTTTAAAGAGATTCATCATTTTCTTCTCTTTGGTGTTCCAAGATGGTGGAACACCATATACTACCAACAGACAGAATGGAAGTAAGGTAATTGGGGGATGGTGAGACAAGCCCACACAAGTGAGCTTCTTTTCCTACCATGTAAAGGATCTGGAAATTCTCAATCAGTGTCTGGAGCACAGTGATCATGGCAGTGCTCTCCTCCATCCCCAGAACTTTGGTGTCCTTCTCGTGCATCTTCTCCTTCTGCAGGATGTTGGGTCCAAAAATCATAGCCAAGTTGGCGGCGGTCATCCGGTTGCCAGAAATCTAGAGAGGAAATTGAAGAGTGAGCAGGAAACAAGAGAAGTCAGGAAGAAGTGGCATGTCCAACATTCTTGTCACTCCTTGAATTCAGTCGGATTAGTCTCCTTGTTGTCTCTCCCACATGCCACCAGTGAAGTGTACTGGAAACATCCCCTCACCCAACCTCCTGCCTTGCCCTTTTACCATCTGGCCCTGAGGCCCAATGGTGTCCTCAGAATGCTTGGACACTTTATCCAGGAACTGCAGGAGGCGGTACAGAGTATCACAGTTGCATGGGGGCAGCAGATAAATCAGCAGCTGCAAAATGGCCAGCCTCTCACCGGTGGGCAGGCCTGTGGAGAAGGAGGGCATGAGATTGAGCCATCTTAGCTAGGCACCTTTGGCCATTAGGAAATGTGGCTTGGTAGCTTCCTGGACCAAAGAAAAGTCCATCATGCCTCTGGAAACTGAAAGGGCATTGAGGGTGCCCACTGTGGACTCCTTTCCTCCATTGTGGAAGAGTGGCTAATCCTCTCTGTGGAACAATCAGGTCCCACCTCTCCCAACCCTTCCCTTGGTGCCCCTGGAGGGGGTGAACCTCTTGCTTTGCTATTCATCTCATGTAAGCTTCAGCTCAAAGCTGTGCCCTTTGCCCATACCTGCCCTTACCTACCTCCACGGATTTTAAGAATTGACTTACTGGCAGCTCGAAGGAAAACTTGGTAGAACTCCCTGGGCACCAGGGGCTCACTCAGATCCCGCAGAAACTCCTTAAGCAGTGCTGCCACATCATGAACGCTCTGGGTCTCATCCAGAATGACATCCATGCCTTGGTCAAACTCTTCACGAAGCTGAAAGGAGGAAAAAGAGGAAGAATAAGGCACCTGTCCTGATGCCCCTCCCTCCCCCCTTTCCCTCCCTTCAGTCTTCTTGTAGGCGGAGCAGTTTGAGGGGCTCTGGGAAGGCTTCCCAGCTTCAAACACTTTTCCAGATGGTCTGCTAGAGACCTACAGTGAAAAAAGAAACACTAGATGTACAGCCAGGAGAACTGGGATTGCATCCCCTTACTTGCTCCCCATCTGACCTTGGGTAAGTTCCTTCCCTTCTCTGGGTCACAGTTTCCTCATTTGTAAAATGGAGCTAACAATCTTTGCAATACTGACCCCCAAGGGTGGCTGTGAGGAAGGTGATTTGCAAACCTTCAAGTGCTCTACCTGACCCCAAATTCAGAAATCCTTTTAGTTTGGGTCAGCCCAATGTGGTGGAAAAAGCTTAGGCCTGTTAGTCAGGAGACCTGGGTTCTAGTCCTAGCTCCCCCACTTAATTGGCTATGTGACCTAAGCCAAGTCACTTCCCCTCTCTCAGCAATCGTCTCGCAGAGTTATGTGAAGAAATCTCTTTGTAAATTGTAAAGTGCTACAGGAAATGAAACTATGATCATATATTTAATATTCTGGGTAACTCCTTTTTGTCTTTGTGTCTCCAATGCCCGGCATAGAATGTATAATAAATGGGTTTTGATTAGGTGATTAATCGCTGTCCCTGTGGGAGATAGAGAGGTACCTAAGACATGATCCCTGCACTCGGAGACCTTCTGATTTAGAAAAGGAAACAAGACAAGACAGGACAAGACAAGACAAAACAAAACATGGACCCAAGGAACTACCAGAAGAGGCAGGATGTGATAAGAAATAGGAACAAAAGAGGCACAATTCTCTATAGGAGTTCAGAGGTGCTCCAGCAAAGGTACCTGCTAAAATAAGCTCAAAGAACTCATCAAACACAAATGGGTCCATCCATAGAACACCTTAAGGCCCAAAGTTCTTCCTTACCCCAATCTCCTGGGTGTCCCCTCCACCACCTCCATCCCTTCCCTCATGGACTCCATTGCATCCCTCCCTCCCTCCCTCCCAATTTCCTCTGGGACCCACCCATGGCTTCATGCTGCCATGCCCCTCCCATTCAATAGCTCATCCCATCAGGGAACTAAGCCATGCTGGTATGCTCTTCAGCGACTGTGCTTCCCTATCAGACTGAGGGTTCTTCATGGAAAGGGCCATGTCTCTCCCATACTACAAGTATCTCCCTGTGATTAATTTCCCCCCCTTCAGATTAGCAGCTCTCCCCTAAGAGGATCTTAGATTTAAATCTGGAAGGGACCTTAAAGGCCACTGAATCCAACCCCATCATTTTAAAGACTAAGAAAATGAGACCCTGTGAGTTGAAGTGAATCCCCCAAGGTCACACAGCTAATATGTCAGAGGCTGGATTTGAGCCCAGGTCTTATTGACTCTACATCCAGCAATCTATCCACTATACCATGTTGCCTCTCTCAGAATGGTAGCTCCCTTAGACTAGGGATTTTTTTCTCCCCTATCAAGCCAGAAGCTTCTTTATGACAGAAGTTGTCTCCACAATCAGAAAGGAAGCTCCCTAAGAGAAGGGACTGTGTCTACACTTCCCTTTATCTCCCTCTGCTTCCCTTTACCTCCCTCTGCCCAGACCCCAAATCATGGAACAGAACTCAATTGGCCTTCCAGTGATGGAGAATATAAATGGAGAAACTGGTTTCTTAGTCTTAGCCTAGTGAACATTCTTTGGAAAATATGGAGAACAGGCTCCTTTACCTAGTGTTTGTCCAAATAATTCTAACTTCTCTCCTAAATATTCAAGTTTATTCTCTTCTTCCATTTTCTGGTTTCTGACCTTCCTGAATGTGCTTTCTGTTATTCTTCCCCTTTGTCTCTCCCCATTGCCCTAGGACATGGAAGCCAGGTCACCCAGAAGAGTATCCAAGGGGAAAGAGCCAAACTGGCAAGTGCCCAGAGGAAGCATACCTTGACTGTTCCCTGAGGGAGTTCCCACACATACATCTGTCCCCAGGCCCCACCTTTATCCCTTTGGGTTTTATCTCCCTATCTCCGAAAATGGGTCATGTAAACATCTCTCTACCTCCTTCACTCTCTTCTTGGAGCTTCCAACACGGAAAATCCCAAGAGTCTTCAGGCCTGAAAGAATAGTTAGACAAGACATGGGGCAACACTAGCCCTGAGTGCCAGCCCACTGCCCACCTGCTCCCTACTGTCCACTGCCAAGACAAGGAATTCTTCTTTCTCTCATCCAGAGGTTATTTTGATGGAAAACCTAGAACCCACTGGAGTAGCACCCTGGAATTTTTTACTTGTATCTCCATATCTCATTAAGGCTGTATTCTTAATTTCTGTGTGGAGTCTCTGCCTAACTCTGGTTCCAGACTAAGCCCTGCCCCTGCCCCATGCTGAGTCCTAACCTTGATCACTGAATTGTTTGTATTCTGACCACAACATGACACCTTAGGGGGTAAATTTCATTCCAGTTTTCAAAAAGTTGTAAAGAAAGATGAAGTCCCAAACCTGTAGACCAGTGAGTTTGCTATCAATCCCTAGCAAAAGCTAATAATTAAACAGATAAGCTGTAAGCATTTAAAAAATAAAACACCATGATAATTAGGAACTAATGTATTTAAGAAGACTAAGTCATGTCAAACTAGTTGCATTTCCTTTTTAAATAGTGTTACTAGGTTTGGATGGCAAGTGAATGCCACAGACATAGTATATATATCTTGATTTTGACCAAGTATTTGATAAAATCTCTAATGATGCCATTGTGGAAAAAAGTTGTGGAAAATGTAGGCTGGGAGGTACAGTTATGTGGATTCTTAGCTAGTCAAAAAAATGCTACCAAAGAGTCTTGGTTGTTGAGAACAATGTCATCCTCAGTGGGAGAGCCACTAGGACTCTGTCCATGGTCCTGGCTAGTCTATATTTTTGTCATTAATTGGGATAAAGGCATAGATGGGATTCTTCTCATATTTGCAAAGAACACAAAGCTGGGGGAAGAGCAAATATGATAGATGAGATCATCAAGTTACAAAATTATATCAATTGGCTGGAACACTGGGCTGAAATTAACAATATGAAATTTAAAAGGAGGTAAACATAAAGTCCTATGTATGTATTTTTTTAAATCAATTGACCAAGTTCTGGATAGAAAAGACATGACTAAACTTTGGAGAAAGGATGAAAATTATCTTCAACTATTTTTATTGGAGGTAGCAAGCTCTCTATCACTAGTGGTCTTCAGGTAGAGACTGGATATCCATTTGGTGGGTGTGTTGTAGAGAGTATGAGATTCTCATTCAGGTGCAGGTATAAAGGTAGGAATAGTTTCCCCTCACCAGACTGAGCTTCTCTAATCTCTTCTTCCCCAGATTTTCTTTTTTTTAAATTAATTTATTTTGAATTATCAACAATCACTTCCATCAGATTTTCTCTCCTTTTCTTTCTGTACTAGTGCTGCTTGGATCCAAGGTGATTAGACTAGATGCAGTAGCTAAAGTTGGGATGACTAGACATTGTTCAAACCATTCTACTATCTTTTTTCCCCACCCCACTTAAAACTCCCTCCTTCCCTCCTCTCCTCACATCCTTACCATGCTCCTCGATGTGCTCACAGCACTTGTCCACAATAACGGGGACCTGTCGGAAAATAGGGTTGAGCCCCAACTTCTCCTCATTGCCCATGAGCTTTACACCCTCCCGACTGGCAGGGAAGGAGAGCTGCAGGGCCTCCAATAGGCGCGAGTTGCCTTGATCCAAATCGGAAATGCAGTCAACAGATAAGCCCCCCTGCAGAAAAATGGGGAGACTCTAGGGAGGGATTGGGCAGTGAGGACTCTAAGTCTGTTCCCCTCCCCACCCTGTCCCCGCTGGGATTCTCCTGGAAACTGCCAAGACAACCAGGAAGCATGAAATGTGTAACAGGAAAGCCATGCACATTAAAACAACTTTAAAGTTCCACCTCACACACATCAGACTGCCAAAGATGACAAGAGGACAATGACAAATGTTGGAGAGGCTATGGGAAAACAGATACACTAGTGCATAGTTGGTGGAGCTGTGAATTGGTCCAGCCATTCTGGAAAGCAATTTAGAACTATGCCCAGAAAGTAACCAAATTGTGCATAGCCTTTGACCCAAATATACCACTAGTAGACTTATAACCCAAGGAGATCAAAGAAAGAGGGAAAGGACCTAAAAGATATTAATTGTGGCTCTTTTGTGGTAGCCAAAAATCAGTAACTAAAGGGATGTCCTATTGGGGAATGGCTAAACAAATTATGAAGTATTAATGCAATGGAATATTATTGTGCCATAAGAAATGGTGAAATGGACAATTTCAGAGGAAGCTGAGAAGACCTTTATGAACTGATGCAGAGCAAAGTGAGCAGGAGTACAAGAACAATCTATACAATGAAAACATCACAGAGAAAAGCGACTTTGAAAGACTCTTGAATTCCAACCAACACAATGATGAACCACGAGTCCAAAGGAATGAACATGAAACATGCCACTCACCTCCTGACAGAGAGGTGATGAACTTAAAACGCAGAAAGAGATATATATATATATTTTTTTTTTTCAGACATGGCCAATGTGGGAATTTGTTTTCCCAGACTAGGTATTGCAGACTTTGTTTTTTTTTTTTAGTTCTTTTTTAATTTGCTCAAGGAAGTAGGAGGAACAGGGAATGATAGAGGAGGGACATATTAATTTTTTAAAATGCTTGTTAACTGAAAAGAAATTTTAATTTTTTTAAAACCAGAAAAAGCATGCAAGTTCAAGATTACTTCCTAGCAATACTCACTTAGATAAATTAAACACCTTCCTTAAGCCATCCAAGATTGCTCACTGTAGGACAAGTGTCCAAGGACTCAGGTTACTGCTGCTTCCATCAAGAAAAGACCAGAGAGGCCAGTTCTGGCCCTTCTTCATTAATCTTGTAAGGGTAGTACCCTCTCTTAAATAATTGTTATCACAACTCCCAATTCTGCATGGTTTTTAAGGCACACACAATACTTCCTCATTTCACACTAAGTTTGGAACTTACCCTTCTCTGGATCTTTGGGGGATGTTCTGCAAAGAGGGGAGTCAGAGGCTCCCTGTGATACTCCATCAGGGCTCCCAGCAGGGAGTGTTCTCCTTGCATGCACTGGCGATGCTTCTCTGTGAGGAAGCGAAGCACGGAAGCCTCCACATCAATGCCTTGTCTCCGAGGAATCTTCATGGCTTCCCTCTGCCGTTTGTTGGCCAAGTCGTTGGCAATGACTTGGGAAAGGGGTATCCCAAAGGTCTGAGCATTATCTGGAGAAACTAAATTGGGTCAAAAGAGGAAGGTGCAGGAGGATAACTGCATACATTTTAGATAAGGGGTGTTTCTCAGTATGGGAATTCATAGAGTAGTCTAGAACTCAAGACTTGGCAGTTACCCCTCAAGGGATTATCAATTCACAGATCCAAGGTCAAGGGGATCTTAGAGATCATCTAAGCAGTAAGACCCCCTTATCATACAGAAGAGGAAACTGAGGCCAAGAGAGGGAAGAGGAATCACCACTGGTCAATGGCTGTGAAATTCAAGCCTTGGTCTCTTGGCTCCCAGTCCAGATCTGTCACCCATGAATTGATCCAACCACTTGTAAAACTGTTTCTCCTTTTAGCTTATATCATCTCTAGAGAGAATGAGTTCCCCAAGGTAAATTTTGACCTTTTTCTTGTCCTAAATTTTCCTTTTCGTGTTTCCAGGAGTCTCCCTCCATTTAGCATCTAGAGCTTGGTAAACAAATCTATTTGCTAATCTGCATCACCTTTCTGATCCTAGAAACATTAAGCCTCAACTTTTTTGGGCCAGCCTCATATAGCTGCCACCACTCCATTCTTTCCATTACTTTAGCTGTCCTTATCTGAAACTTCTGTAGCTCCATAACTATTTGTTTGAGGAGTGTCCACTAGACTTCTACACATAATTTAGGTGAATGTTTAGGGAATAGATGAGAGTAACTTCTAGATGAAGGGGCAGCTAGGTGGTGCAGTGGATAGAGTGCCAGGCCTGGAGTCAGGAAGACTCATCTTTGTGAGTTCAAATCTGACCTCAGACACTTACTAGCTCTGTGACCCTGGGCAAGTAACTTAATCCCATTTGCCTCAGTTTCCTCATGTGTAAAATGATCTGGAGAAGGAAATGGCAAACCACTCCTGTATCTTTGCCAACAAAATCTCAAATGGGGTCATGAAGAGTCAGACCCAATTGAAAATGAGTGAACAACAAAACTCCTAGATCCCTTACTTGAGTTTTAATTGATTGCCTGGGGCCAACCTTTCCATAAGGGATTAAACTAGGTGATATATTCTTTAGCTATGGCAAACTGTAAAACAAAGAAAAATACAAAATGGCACTCAATCCTTCTGTAGCTTCCTTGCATTTCTGTAGTTATAATAGCAGAGTGGTAGAAAGGGGGTAAAGGGTGCTAAGAATCACACCATTTTAGACAATTTATTAACCTAACTGTTGGCGCTCTAAATGCGAGATCCTTGTCCAGTCTCCAACAAATCTGAAAGCATTGAAGGAATGGAATTATAACAATATTAGACATTTTAACTATAAATGATACCAAAAGATATAAGGAAAGAAGTGAAGTTGGTTTCATCATGCTCCTAAAGACAACAAGAAACATCATTTCAGAGGGTAGTTGGTCATCTTATCTTGCAGTGCTCATGTTCATAACAAAAAGACCATTCTCAAGAAACATCTCAAAAAATGAAATTGACTTTCTCTTATAATATATGAAACACCTTGTTGCTGATACAGGGGTCATTTCTCAGACCACTGACTTGCTAGAGTAGAGATCAAAATCAATGCCAAATTAGGAAAAAAAGGTTAAAGATGAAAAGTGAGCATGATGTACAATCAAAACAGTTCCAACCTGACCTAATTAAATGGCTACTGATGTCCAATAAATGGATGAAGGAACAAGGAACAGACATTAACATGGACCATCACCATTTCCTGTGGAAGTTGAACCAAAGTAAAGCAATTACCACAATGAAGAGACCAAAAACATATTTGAAAAAAAGGAAAGATAACAAACAAGTGGGAAAAATCATGGATGTTAATACTCTACAAAAAGGATGATTGAGAAGTTATTAATAACTACCAACCCATAAGCCTACCCTCTCATCTCAACAAAGTACTTATGAGACAAATCTACCTACATATCAAGGGCGTCCTTTGTGAAAATATGAGAAATAGGGAGGATTTTATAAATAATATTCTACAATAGATAATATCTTTACAGTCACATACTTGACTTAAAGGTTCAAAGAATACAAGATCCCACCATAAGTACTGTTTGTTGATTATCAAAAAGCATTTGATTGGGTAGAGCAAAATGCAGCCTTAAAGGCTCTCCTCCAACAAAGTGTTTCCCATTTATATGTTAATACCGTACAAAGTTTCTTGATAGATAAAACAGAGAGGACTCTGTTGGAACAATCTTCTGATTATTAAAAGTCAATTGAAACATAAAACAGGAAGACATTTGGATCACCAAAGCTGTTTGCTCATGATGGAGGATGTCCAGAGCAGAAGCCAAATGAAAGAGATATTCCCTACATCTATACAGGTGAGGTCTTCCAGATGCTCTTGTCTGCAGGAAATTGGACTACATCAAGTCTAAGAATATTGCAAAGCCTATTAAATAAGATCAATAATCTCAGAAAAGAATTCATCCTAATAATGCACATGGGAAAAATCAAGTGGATAAAGAATGCCTATTGCCCAGATTATAGATGGACAGTGCCCAGAATTGATTAGACGAGAGTGAACTGGATTGCATTTGGAAAATTATACAATACTTTCAATGATCCCAAGTTTCCCCCAGGAAGGAAAAGCTCATCTTTTTAACACCCTTAAATGTGATGTGATAAGCCTGTGTGTCACGTAATACCATAATCTCTGAAGAATCAGAATTTTGAGTCCCTGAAACAGTAATGAAGAGGCACATTAAGACACTGAGGCCCTGAAAGATTGAGTTATTCATCCTAATTTACAAAGGGAGTAATTATCAGAGCATTGATTCTAACCCAAGTGTTCTGACTCCATTATCTCCCATTTGGGCCAGGCCAGACTCTGGCTTCTGAGAGTTGTAATACAGATGACTGAGATCCTGAAGAATCCTATATGGAAAACCCTAAAGGTAATATAGGAGAAAGATTGGAGTTGAAGGAGGAGAAGGAATTATGAAGAAGACTTAACTTCAAAATTGTGAAAAATATCAGAGATTGATTTGGGGGAGGGGAAATTTGGAAGGACATGGGAAACTGAAGCAGAAAGAGAAGAGCTCAGCCTGAAGGAGAATGATTGGAGGTGAAGAAGGGCATGAAAGGGATCTGAGGGGAAAAAGGAACAAAAGAAGGACATATTGAAAGAGAAGGAAAAGGAATCATTAAGAACAAGGAGGAGAATTTCTATTCTGGATCTGATTCTTAACAACAAGGAGGAACAGATTTCTGGGATGGGAATGATGAGAACCTTGAGGACAAGTGATGAGTCCATTTTAGAATTTATGAAAGGGGAGGAAAGTCAGGGATAATCTGACATACTACCTCAGATTTTTGGAGAACGAATTTCAAAGGATTCAGAAAAGGAAACCATAGACTAAAATTCTGCAGGGGAAGTCATCCCTGGAAGGATGAGAAGCTCAATAGAATGAAATTCAGACTATCCAAAGCGAACCAATTTTAATGAGGAGGGAAAGGTAGAGTTGTCTAAAGAGAACAATGTGGATGCACAGGGGGGCTTATCCTAACTTTGATTTTAAAGTCATGTACAATAGATGAAAATAAGTGTAAGTAATAAAGAAAAATTGTAAAAGCATAGTATGATCTGATAAAAATAGATTTCTAGCAAAGCATCTGACAAGATCACAAATATTATTCATGTGGAAAAGATGGCAGCCAATATCATGGGATCAGATTTGTTGCACTCCAGCTTTGACTTTAGTTCTTGGGACAGCATTTTAGAGAAGACTTTGACACACTGCGGTGTGTCCAGAGGAGAGCTATAAGGATGATGAAGGGACTGGAGACTATGCCATCTAAGGATTAGTTGAAGGAACTGGGAGTGTTTAGCTTGGAGAAGAGAACACTTGGAGGGAGGATGGGACATGATTGTCATATCCAAGTATCTGAAGGACTGTCCTATGGAACAGGGGCAGGCTACAAGAGGGTAGAGCTAGCAGCAATGAGTAGAAGTTCCAGAGAGGACAATTTAGGCTAAATGTAATCATTAATAATTAGGACAGCTAACAATTAAGGAGAATGGGCAGATCAAGGAGATGATTGGTTCCTGCTCCCTGGTGGTCTTCAAGCAGAGGCTGGATGCCTACTTGTCAGGGATATTGTAGAGGGGGAGTCAAGTCTGGTCTTGGTTGGATTCAGTGGTCTCCAGGATCTCTTCCGGTATCCTGTGATTTTAAGGGTTTTGTTCCATATATGTGGAAATGGCATCCCCTATGTAGTCTTGGAAAGGAGTGTTCAGTGGGTTCCCTTTATTCAATTTACTACTATAGGATTCTGTGACTTGCCCAAGAGGGGGTGATGGCAGAAGAGCAGCCATTGTCAAGTTCTGAGTTCTACCAACCTCCCCTCCCCCACCCTAACCAACTGAATTCAATAAGAATTCATTAAATGCCTGCTATGCACAAGACAATGTGCTAGGCACTGGGGGGGTGCAAAGGCAAAATGAAAAATAGCCCCCCATTCAAAGCTCCCATTCACCCCTTATCCTTTGAATTTGTCACATCAGAATCCCAACCCCCCACCCCACTCCCAAATTTTGCCCTCCCCATGCTCAGCATCATGCGATATTACCCACTCCTGTTATCTTCCCACAACATGGCAACCCAGAACAGGCATTGACTGGAGGTCCTACCTTTTTTGTCACGACTTAGAACATCCAATCTTTTGCGAAGGAATTTGCCCTTCTTGTTTGCTAAAGTTACAGAAAGAAAGGGGAACAAATCAAAAATATGGGTTCAGCACCATCCTTTTCTAGAGCCCTAAGAATTCTGGTACCTGGGCAAATTCAGTTCAGGGAAGGAGAGGGAGGAGACGGAGGAGACAGCCATCCGTATAAGGCCCCTACCAGCAGGAAAGCCAGTCTGGTAGACCATCATTATAGGAATCAGACAGCCAACTGGCTGCAAGAATCATCTGTTTCTCTTCCATTCAGCTCTACAGTCAAACACTATGGCCATAGTTGACATCTGGTCCCTATTAGTGGCCGGTAAGAATTTAGATTTCATTTTAATTTGAGAGACCCCCCCCCAAAAAAAAAAAACCCAACAACCTCATCAGACAGCTGAACAATCGATTTCTTGCCAAACCTCTCCCTTTTTCTGACTCTTTCAATTCTCTTATTTATGTCAGGTAGAAAGCTGCAGGTATAAACATGGAACTGGGGTGTTTAGCCTGGAGAAAAGAAGACTCAAGGGAAGACATTCTAGCTATCTTCGAGTATTTGAAGGGCTGTCATGGGAAAGAGGGATTAGACTCATTCTGTGTGGCCCAGGAGCAATGGCTGGAAGCTGCTGAGAGGCAGAAATTGGCTTGATGAGAGGGAAAATACTTGCTAACGAGAGCCAAGAAAGCAAGGGGCTGTCAGGGGCAGGAGCAGATGCCCCCTCCTGAGAACTCCAGACAGAAGCTGGATGATCACTTCTTGGGGATGGTCTAGAAGGGCTCCTGTAGAGATCTGGGCTGGCTCTGAGGTCCCTTTCCACGCAGAGATTCTGTAAGGTTTTTCACACCTACTACTCACCCTAGACGGGGGAGTGAGGTAGCTCATCTCCCACAGAACAGGGGAGGACAAGGTTCCAGATTTCTCTTTCTCTTCTCCCCTCCCCTTCTCTCTCTGTCTGTCTCTCTTTCTCTCTCTCCTTCTCTCTCTTTTCCCTTGTCTCTCCTCTCTCTCTCTCCTTCTGTCTGTCTGTCTCTGTCTCTCTTTTTCTTTCTCTACTGTCTCTCTGTCTGACTGTCTCTCCTTCTCTCTCCTGTCTGTCTGTCTGTCTTTTTCTTTCTCTCTCTCTCTCTCTGTCCACAAATGGAAGGGTATATGTCCCATGTCTCTGCAGAAAAGGCAGTTTGGCAATAGTTAAGTCTCAGCCTGACTTGGGCAGGATTCCGGGGAAGCCGCAAAGGCCAGGGAAACCTGGAATGGCACCAAGGAGCCTCCTCAGATTTATTTATTGGCTTTTAATTCCACATTTGCCTCCCTGGACCAAAAGCTTCGATGTGTTTCTGATGAGTAGAAAGTCTCCCTCTGTTTAATATTTCCTTTCTAACAAGGTTCTCCATAGAACCTTCCAAGAGCCAGGAGAGGAAAATGGAGGGAGGGAAGAGCCATACACCCCTCAGGCAGCCTCTCTGCTGGCCCGCACTTCTCCACTCATGCTTCCTCCTTCTCATCACTTATCTTCACTCTGGACACCCTTTCCCTAATACTTCAACAACCCCAGCCATGGAAATGTCAAGTATCACCTAGGCCTTGGGGGTGACGGAGGAGAGAGCTGGGTATGGGAAGTAGGTGGCTGGGGAAAGCAGAACTGAGGAGACAGTGTCACAAGAAGATTTTCTTCTAGATAAGAAAATGACCCTTCCTCCTTTCTTTGCAGAGGTGGGGGACTATGGGTGTGAAATATTGCATATTCTACCAGGCTCAGTTGATTAGTTTTGCTGAACTGCCTTTTTCTTCTCACTTTTTTTATTCTTGCATGTAGGGTATGGTTCTCTGGGGAGGGAATGGGGAGGAAGATATTTTGAAATGAAGGTTATGTAAAAACAAAAAAAAATATGCAAAAAAAATGAAAAAAGGAAAAAAAAGAGTACTTTCTTCTCCCTAGCACTGGAGGGCTCAGTCTGGAGCCAGAGGCAAAGATGAAGTTTAGGGCAAGGGTCACAGTTCAGTAGAGCCAGAGTCAAGAACTTGGTCTGGGGGCTAGGATTAGGGCTCAGTATGGGACCACAGTAAGGACACAATCTATGACTGCATGCTATTAAATTTGACTCATAATAAGGCTCTAGTTATTATTCATTAAAAAGAACAGGAGAGGCCCCCAAAGCCCAATTTGCCTCTAGCTCCAGCTGTCCCAAGCTGAGTACTGCCATGCTGGCTTCCTAGCTCTGTTTAGTGTCTTCAGCTATCAGACTGATGCCAATGGTTTCTACCTCCAATCTCACTGAGTTTGGTCCACACAGAAGAAAAATCAGAGACTCAGGTGAGAAACCAGAGATTCACTGAGCTGGAAGCAACACTGGAGAATAACTGCTCTACCTCCCACCCAGGATGTGAGCTCCCTCGGTGGGAGAGGTTCTTAACCTTCGTTTGGGTCCAGAGCCCCTTTGGCAAGCTTGTAAAACCAGTGGAGCCCTTCTCAGAATAATGGATGTTTTGAAAATTCATAATTGAAGGAACTGCTTGATTTAGCTAGAGGATAATGAAAATAAAGATGTAAATTTTTTCCCATCCAAGTCCACAGACCCCCTGAAATCCATCTGTTGACCTCAGGTTAAGAACCCCTGTGGCATCCCTGACAAGTGATCATCAATCAACAAGCATTTATTAGGCACCTACTATGTGCAAGGCACCATGCTAGGTGTTGGGGAGTCAGAATATACATGTATAAGTATAGAGGAAATATGTACAAGGCTTTTTTAGGGCAGAAAGCAGCTGGGGGTAGGAGGTGGCTCCAGAAAAGGTCTCAATTAAGAGACAGTACTTGAGCTAAGCCTTGAAGGAAATTGGGGATTCTAAGAGATGAAGATGAAGAGGGAGGGTATCCCAGGCATGGGAAAGGGCCAGTGCAAAGTGCAAAGGCACGGAGACAGGAGATGAAATGTGAGGAACAGCAAGGCAGGTAGTGTGTCGAGGGGAATAATATAGTAAGGCTGGGAAAGTAGGCTGGAGCCAGGCTGTAAAGAGCTTAAACTGAACACTTGCTGAAATGGGGAGCTCATTACCTCACAAGGCAGCCTGTATCACTGTGAAATGTCTCCCACTAATTGGGGAACAGTCCCCATGACTCCTGAACAAGCTTCCCTCCATCAGTCCTAGACTGTGAACTCCATGAGGGCAGGAGCCATGTCTTAGCTAAGCTCTACACGTTGAATTACAATAGCCTCGTATTATTTTGTATGTAGAATGTAAGCTCCCTGAGGGCAGGGACTGATTGTTTCCCCCATTTTTGTCTTTGTATACCCTGTGCCTACCACAGGAGCTGGCACATTGGAGGCTCTTCATAAAGGCTTGTTGATCGCTTGACAATGGATGCCTGATCGCTGGTTTTTGGAGTGAAATCCTCTACACTCTGCATCTCTCCCAGCTCCTAACAGAGTGCTCTACAGACAGTTGGTGCTTCAGTGGTGCTTGCTGAATGGAACTGAAGCAATTCAGCAGCACCAACAGGAACTGGCACCCAACCAAGCCAGCCGAGCCAAAGCATCAGTTGCACAACAAGGCAATTGAGCTCCAAGAGAGCAATGAATTGACTGCATTAGCACAACCATTCCGTTGGGAGCGGGAGATTCCAGACCTGCAAGTGCAAACGCCCGGGTGAAATGGACCATCTTGCATACAGAGATGTTGTGTACCCACTATCAAGAGAATGAATGGTCGCTTTAGCTCCAATTTCCAGGAATGGGGATGGCTCACACTGAGCCATCCCCATTCCTTTATCTACTTGGTCTTCCTGGTGACCAGTGACATGCCTTTGTGAGATAGGATGAGGAGTCAATCTAGGAAGAGTCATTCCAGTCCAGACCATGAAACAGGATTGTTTTCTTTCTACACCTAACTGGCCAACACAGAAATGGAGCTTATGGCCTTGACCTCATAAATTACAGGTTCTAACCCCTGAGAGAACCGGTTCAAGCAACCCAACGTTAGCCAGTGGTGCTTTAGTACGATGAAGGGGCAAGTAAGTGCCTTGTTCAGTAGGAAGTATGCTGTAAGGAAAAGACCGTTAGACTTGGAGACACATTTTATTGTCCTTTATTTATCATATCATCTCATTTTAGAACTAGAGTAGAAATTTGGGATGATATAGTCAAACCTCTTCATTTTGTAGATGAGGAAACTGAGGCTTCAGAGTGGTTGGGTGACTTGTCCAAGGTCACACAGCTAATACATGGTGGTGCCTAGACCGCCCTCAGAACATGTGACTACAAGTTCATTATGTTTTCCACTTACAGCACAAGTCAGAAGAGCTGGATTCAAGGTCTAGCTCCATCCAACTGAGTGCCATCGGCCAAGTCACTTAACAACTGACTCCCTCCAAGCCTTGTTTTCTTCACATATAAAATGAGTATGATAATACTTGCCCAACGTACCTTCAGACAACTGCTGTGAGGATCAAATGAGATAATGTACGCAGAAATGCTTTGCAAATGTAAAATTCCACATGAATCTAAGAATCTCAGAAACTGAAAGGGGCTTCAGAGGGCAGTGTTCTGTCATGAGAAGAGCACTGGATTTGGGGACCTGGATTAGAATCCCAGCTCTGCTCCTTCTTTCCTGTGTGATCTTGGGCAAGCCACTTAACCTCTCTGTGCCTCAGTTTTCCTCATCTGTTGAATGAAGAGGTTGGGCTTGATGGCCTCCAAGGTCCCTTCTAGGTCTAATGATCTCTCAACCTAAACCATTCCTTTGCTTCTTCCTTGACAACAGGATCACATTTTAGAGCCCAAAGAGACTTAGTGATCACCTAGTCGACCACTCCTCCTCTCCCCTCACCCATTTGGCAGATCAGAAAGTTGACAGCTAGAATGCTGATGGGATTTGCCCAAGGTTACACTGCTAGTAAAGTGGCTGAGCTGGGGTATGAATCCAGAAACCCTGATTCTTGGTGAAATGCTCTTTTCTCTTTACACAGAGGGGAAAAAAAAAACATGAAATGGGGAATGGAAAAGGGACAAAGAGCTCAAAAGAGTGGAAAGAGAAAAGAGCTATTCCCCTCCCTCCTTCATTCCTCCCCACCCCCAATTCCACTATCCCCAAATAAGAGAGACCCCAAACCCAGGATTCAACAGCCATCTGCCTCAGAATTATGGGGAAGAAGGAGGGTATTGAAGGGAACGATGGGGCAGAGCTGGAAAACCAAATGATTGTGTCCTAGCATAAAGGAAATTTAAAAAACATCCCTTCGAAATAATGAGAGCAGCAACAGGCTACCCAAACACGAATGTTATTCCGAGTGGGAAATTAGAGAGACACAAATAACCAAGCCATCTATGTTAGGTTTCTCAGAATTACAACCATTTAAGTGGAGCGCATACTTTTTCTGCATTATCTGTTGCCTGGGACCCCTTATCACATGGCTCTGTATATTGTTTACTGACTATTATCCATCATTCAGCCCTTACCTTGGGACTGAGTGTCCCCAAGGACTGGCTTCTCAAGAGAAACATTCTTCACCCTTTGGTTCCTCTCAAGGGCTTGCACTGCTCAGCAGCCATTGCTAGCAGTATTGGCCGGATGAGTCTTCAAGATGGTTTGCTCAAAGGGGGAAACTGTGCTATTAGCCCAGGCATGTCTCTCTTGAAATTGTTTGTCAAAGTGACAAGAAAAATAATTCCCATTTCTGGAATGCTTTAGGCTTTACAAAGCACTTTATTCACAAAAGCCCTGGGAAGTGGGAAGGAGACACATTAACATCTCACTTTTACAGAAGGGGAAACTGAGGCTCCACCTAGGGTCACATGGCTAGTAAGTGGCAGAGTCAAGATTTCTGGCTCCAAATCCAGTGTTCTTTCTACTACATCCATTGACTCTCTCAAAGGAGGGGAAAGGGGAAGCAAATCTGTTCGTGGGTGGTCACTTTTCGAACACGGAACTGGTAAAAGGGACTGACCGACATTTAGAATTTTTGCTGCAATCACTACCCCTCCTCACCACCACACATACCCACCCACCATGGGCTTTTGGGCTTCCCCCTCTTTTCACCTTGGTCATTTCCAAAACAGTCAATGCAAAAAGGTTTCTCCATCTCTTTGACTTGAGGGTGGGGGCTAGGGGGCAGGAGAAGAAAGGAAGGGGATGATCGTAACTACCTTAGCCCTGATACCTGCAGAGAGCTCCTTACCTCAGAAAGGGCCTGAAGCTGCCTTGATCACATAATTGGGCAGCATTATTACCGTCTGACAATGACATGCATTATTTAATGCCTCTGCCCACGGCAACTGGAACTGATGAAGACTGTATTTACAGCTTCCCACCTTCCCAGCTCAGTGAAATCCAGACCCCAGGCCACTCTTCAGCATCCAGCAAACTGGTGCCTGTGGCATGTCTGACCAATGTGTGCCAGCCGGACAGCCGGGTAAGCCAAGTCCAATCAAGGCACACTGTAAGGAGGTTATGGATATGACTCAGTTGTTCATTGCAGCATCTCTGTGCAGCTACTAATAAGTATTGATATTATTATTCCCAGTTCTCTGCTTGACTGCTAGTCTCAACCATAAGGAGCGGGGGCCAGGAGTTGCGGGATGGTTCTTAAGTCATTAAAAAAGGCTCAGAATTGACTTTCCTTCCCAAAGGAAACTGGCACAGCCAGAAGTGACACCTTCAACAGGAGGTGCTGATTCCTGAACCTCACCCTCCACTCAAATCTCTCACTTCAACCTGAGACTTCCCCAAATCCTTTCAAAATCCAATTTAAAAGACTAGCCAGTCATCTATAAACCACAGTGATGGGCACCTGCACTCAGCTGCAATGAATTTCGCAAGCTTTGCTCCCGATGCAGTAACCAAATGAAGATGTTGGAAGGGATTTTTAGCAGTCCCCTAGCCCTGGCAGTGGTGTCTGGCAATTGTAGAGAATTTGGAGCCAAAACAGACCTGTAGTTAGTACATCACCCTGATTTTACAGAGTACAAAACTGACCTCCAAGGAAAGGAAGAAATTTCTTTAAAACCAAACCAGAACCAGGAGTAAAGCCTTGGAATTCTGGGATCTGGATTCCAAGCCAGGTGCCCCTCCCAGTCTACCACCTGCCTCAGCCAGCACAGCCTGATTGATGAAGTACTTTCCAGAGGCAAAGATATCAGAAAATTTAGAGTAGGAAGTGACCCTACAGTTGTTTTTTTGGACAGTGGGGAGAACAGGGATCTGGACTTGTGTTTTATCGATAGGTCGAACTGCCCACAGTGTAGAAAAGTTGAATTGATCGTTGAACCGATTATAAAGTCTTAGAGAATTGCTAGAGGGCACTGAAAGATTAAGCAATTTGCCCACTGTTAAAAAGCAAATAAGTGTCAGAGGCAGATTCGGGCCAGCCTTCTATCCCCTGCCATCATCCATTTTAGTACCCTCATTTTATAAATGGGGACAATTAGGAAACTTGTCCTAAGGCATGCAGCAATTATGTGGAGGATCTGCGATTGAATCCAGGTCCTCTGTCTAAAGCTTCCTGTAACAACAGCCCTCACCCTACTCCCCTCCTCAGCCTGGACTGGCTGCCACTGAGAAGCTGGTGAAAATCTTTCCAGTTGCCCAGGGGAGTCAAAGAAAAAAACTTGGGGGAGAGGTAGCTCGACGGCCCTTCTTGGGTCCCTTTGGCCTTACCTTTGGGCATCTTGATGGGCCAGGAAGGATTCTTCTCCTGCAGGCAGAAGAAGGCTATCTCCCGAAGCCTGGTACGTTCCAGCTCGGAGAGATTCTGAATGAATACGGCCTGCATCCCTAGGTCTCTTCCGATTCCAGGGATGCTACCGAGAGTAGTCACTAAAGAAAGCACAAAAACAGAGAAGCAAGTTGGCAATTTCCCCCTTCTGGGCTTGGCCATCTCCAAAGCATCTCCTCTTATTCCAGGTTGAAGGAGCCAGATAGAACTGTCTTACTGTCACAGGACCAAAAGGGAGGGGTAGGGTCAGTTAGGTGGTGAGAAGGCCAGCAGAGGTGGGTGGAGGGAGACGCTTCAGGGGGAGAGGGAACCCAGACAGAGCTTTGGTAAACAAAAGCCAAAGCTTCTCAACCTATCCTATCTTTTGTTCTCCAATTCAGGATCTGTGGGCAGAGATAGCCCCCAGCAAACCTGGGAAGTTTGTAATCAACGTCATTTCCCCTGAATCCCCCTTTCCAAGAGACCCAAACACTCCTTCACTGGCCTTTAGGGTTCCCTAATGTGATACTCTATCTGGGCTTTCTATGCCCCGATGAGAGAGGGCATGCAAGTATCACTACCCTCCTATTACACAAGGGGAAACTGAGACTCAGAAAGGTTTAAATGACTTGTCTAGGATCACACAGTTTAGAGGTATTACATCAGGAACTTGAATCCAGGTGTTCTGACTCCAAGTCAGGTCCTGTATAGCACACTCCATGTTTCCAACCTGTCCTGCCCCTCTACTCCATCTTTTGAGGACTCCAAAGGAGGTCTCCAGAAAAGTGCCCTATAGGATCTAGGCCGTTCAGCAGTGCTACCAGAGGCTAACAAAGTAACTCTAGACAAAGACAGCTGTTTGCAATCAACATCAGCCCACTTCTGGGAGCAGTCTATCCAGATCCCTGGCTCCCAAAGAGCCAGCCTTTAGTTTATCCGGTCTGAGTTGGGTTTCCCATCTGCTCTTGCCCATCTCCTAGAAGGAGGCCTCTCTGACACCGCCCCCCCCCCCCAGCCATCAGGATTAAGAGCATCCTCACAAAGAAAGAGCAACACAAGAAACAACACAGCTCTTGAAAGATGAGCCACGGGGCAGCTAGGTGACCCAGTGGATAGAGCACCGGCCCTGAGTTCAGAACGACCTGAGTTCAAATTCAGTCTCAGACACATAACACTTACTAGCTGTGTGACCCTGGGCAAGTCACTTAACCCCACTGCCTAGCCAAAACCTCCCCCCCCCAAAAAAAAGAGAGAGAAAGAAAGAAAGACGAGCCAGCCCAGGAGCTTACCATCTTAAAAGGAAATCAAAGGATCACAGTTGCCCAAACAATTGTCATCTCCTCTGGCCCAGCAATAGAGGAATAAACAAACAAACAAAAGGTATAAGGCTGGGAAGGTCAGAGCAAAGCCTAGAGGCAACCTTGAGAATAATCCTGTCAGCCTGAGGCTCCCTCCTAGGCCTTACTGAAGAGTATAAAAAAGGGACCAGAAGCAGGGCAGGAAAGAAATGCTAGCCCAAGCATAAGGCAAGGCCCATTGGAGAAACTCTAACACCTATGTGTTTGCTGCATCATTGGTCAACTTGTTCCTAGTTCCAATTCCTAAGCCTGGCTCTAGGGTTAGTCAAGCTTCCCAATAGGCAGAAGAGGCCACCTATGCAGTTTTATCTCAAGAATGTTCCATGACAGCAGGCACAGAGCAGTAAAAAGAGTTTTGGCTATTCGAGTCAGAGGTCTCAGCTCCACTACTGAATTACTGCGTGGTCTTGAGCAAATCGCAACCCTCTCAAGGCCTCAGTTTCCTCTTTCAATGATAGTGAGCATTTCTATACTGATTTAAGGTTTTCAAAGAGCTTTACATATAGTTGTTATTGTTATCCCCATTTTACCCAAGAGGAAACTGAAGCTGAAAAAAGGGGTAAGTGACTTTCCTAGGATCATACAGACAGTAAGTGTTTGAGGCAGGATTTGAACTCAAGACTCCAAACTCAGCCCTCTATCCATTACTCTACCTAGCTGCCACTAGGGGTTTGTATTCAAACTCTAGAGCCCCTTCCAGCCCTAAATGATACAATTCCTCTTGCCCCCCAATATGTCCTTCCTGCTCCCTCCAGCCTTGTGCCTTTCCCCTTCTTTTCATCTTGAAATGACTCCTACAAGAGCCATTAATGCATTAAACAACAAGGAGGGCTGATGGTGGTATTATTTTCGAAAGGCCAGTCATCCTGCACTTAGATGACCTGAGACAATTGGATTAAAACATTAACTCAGATCAACTTATCAGATTAGCTAGCTGTCACCCAGTGGCCCCAAGGAGTTGAAATAATGAATAGGGAAAATTCTGACAACAGGCAATTTCATAAGGAACTAGGGAAGCTCCCAGGTAAGTTTGTCTCACAAACACATATGAGGCACTAGAATAGTCCCTTCTACACCCCTTATCTGGGGGTGAATATAATGTGATGAAACACCACTTGTGCCCCTAAGATTTCCTGTTTCTTGCCCAGGTTGTCACAAACTTTCTTTCCAGATTTTTTCCAGTAGGATCATCTGTAGCCATGTCAAGGCAAGTCAAGAAGCTTTTAATGTATTCTTTATTGGGCCTACTCTGTGCCAGGCACTTTCACCCCTAAGATGCAATGGTTCCATGAATGATCAAAGTCCTTCTTGCTGTTGCTACCTCAGAGCTGTTCTAGAAGCATTGCGGTGTCCCTTCAGTGCTTTCAACTCTGCTCCTTCCTAACTGTTGCTTGGGTTTTGCTATTCACCTTGCTCTTCCCAACTGTGAGGCCAGCTCTCTATCCACTATACCATACTGCCTCTTGTTACATTAAACGTCAGCTCTTATCAAGCAAGTAAGCATTTATTAAACACTTACTATGTGCCAGGGCTAGGCACTATGCTAGGAACTGGGGATACAAAGAAAAGCAAAAAACAGAGTCTTAGCCCTCAAGGGTCTCACAATCTAAGGGGAGAGACAATGTAAATAAATAGATATGTTAGTACTCTTACAGAGAGAATATAAGGAAACAGTTACAGTTGCTATTTAAAAAGAGGGCATCTAAGTAGATATATTATTATTCCAAAAGAGGTAATATAAATAAGTGTAATATTATTCTTAGGGAGGATATATACTCTCTAAGTTACTGGACTTTAGAAATGTCTTGTTCTTTCAACCCAATGGACTGCCGATAAATGGAATGCCAAGGTATTTCCATACCTTCTTCCCCTTTCCCAATTCTGCATCAATTTAAATCCCGCCCATCTTTCCAGAGCCAATTTGAGTGCCATCTTTTCCAGGAAGCTTTTCCTGATTGTTCTAGGCCACAGTGCTCTCTCCAGTTCTCATTGCCCACTGATCATTACAGCTCTGAATTGTCAATTGTTATTTAATTATCTGCCTCATCTTCCTCTTCCCTGTGCTCCCCTAGAGCATCTAACTCTGTTTTCCACCACTTACTAGCTGTTTTGTTCTAGTAACTCTAAAGACTAGTTTTCTTCTGTGGCTGGGGTCTTTGAAGAAATTTCAGAAATGGTTTGAGCTAAACAATTGTATGTCTTCCCAAGGCGACCACACTGAAGGACAACATTCATTTAAATGTATCGGTTCCCATATATTTGTTTTTCAAAAAGGATGTTGTGACTTTAAGGTGACAGCTCATAATCTGTCCTTCAAAGCTGGCTGATGAAAAGAATAAGCTAAACTCTGATAATAGTTGTAACTCACCATCATAAAGCAATGGGCAGTGCTTAAAGAGAAGTAGAGTCAGGACCAAGCTCAATGCTGTGTTCCTTTTGGTTCCCCACCCCCAAGCCAATTTGGGGGTGCTGTAAAGCAGTGTTGTCAAAGAAGGGCTCAAGGGATGAAAAATCCAATGCAAATGAGAGTTAGTTCCTGTATTTTAATGACAGGTTATATGTGCTAGGGGCACCTAGGGGCAAGGTAATGCTGCTTATCCTTATGAGATAGCAGTTCAAGAAAGCAGAAAGACTTTCTCTTTTTGAACAAGGAAAGAACAATAACTTGATCTCTCATACCCATTTTCTGCATGGGATGTTTGAAGTAAGTAAAAAGGGAGAAACAAAATAGACATCCCTGAACCAGTTTCTCCAAAAGTCTCAAGGTAGCCCAAAGTCTCCTCAAAATAGCTGTGAACATCTCCCTCAAAAAGCTATTCTGAATGTCATGAGCCTAATGGCCTTTCACCTTTTGATTTGCTACAATAAACGGAAAGCAGGAATTATCAAGGAAACAAGGACCTTGTATACTTCACCATGTCTTATATTAAATATAATCGTATGTAATTGGTTAGTATGTTGCCATGCTTAATCGAATTACATACACATTAGAAAGCTTTATACTGTACAGATATATCATTTATAGTTGATTAAATATGGTGTTTGTCGTCATTTCTGTGAAAGGCCAACCTCAGACCCCCTGAGTCACAAACACAACCCTTATTATACCACTGTTTCTATGGGGAAATTAGATTCAACTTAAATCATTTTTTTTTACTGCACCTTTTACAGGAAGCAAAGATTTAGAGCTCAGTAAGACCTTACAGATCAGATAGTCCAAGCACCTGATTTTACAGATGGGGACACTGAGATCCAGAGAAGAAGTGACTTGCCCAAGGTCACATGGCTAGTTTGCCACAGAGTCATCAAATATCAAACATGGAAGGTTCTTTAGAGGTCATCTAGGTTGACCTCCACATTTTATAGAGGAAAGAGAGTCTGCCTACATAGATGAGGTGACTTGCCCAACAGAAGACATCTGATAGAGCCAGGGTTCAAACACTGAGGATACCATTGGGAGCCATTGTCAACCTCTTCAGAAGTGCCATGAGGAAAACTTTTTGCAAACCTTCAGGCTGTCTTTATGTCATTCAACATCAGAACCAAGATGGTGGCCATTTCTTAGAGTTCAGGGCTCTGACAGGTTTATGAGCACTTTTATACCAGGCACTAGTGAGCTGACATAGTATCCTCATAGAGCAGTCAATAATATTTAGCACAGTTCAAGGAGATGTTGTCTTAGTAAACCCCATGTGGGCAAATGTCTGCCATCTCAGGAAGTCCCTACTAAATTTGGAACAGGAGAAACCACTCTGGGATAGAGG